CTACTTAGAAGTGTACGTTTTGATGTTGACCCACATTACATTACTACTTGTGGAGCCCCTTAGCTCAGTGGTTAAAGGGCTCGCCTCGCAAGCGAGAGGACCTGGGTTTGATTCCCGGGCGGGTCAGAACGAAACCTTGGCTCAACTAATAATAATAAACTGCAGAGAGGTAACGACAGCAAGATAAAATTGGGCAGGAGTGAGGGAAAGCTGGCAATGGATATTAGGTTGATTCTCAGGGCAGTAGCAGATAGACAGTAGGGGCATCAAACACTGCAAGTTGAAGATGATACCTTGACCCAATTCTTTCAATAATACAGCCCTAAATTGTCGGTCTTCACACAGCTCCTGCCAAAACCACCTCTCATCTAAGCACTGCATCCCGACCTAAAAGGTGCACACTTAATACGGTACCATGGCTTTTTCTCATTACTCTTAATTTGACATCCCCTTCTCCGCAGTCCAAAGCCTTCCCTCCCACCCCCCACCGCACCAGAAAAACAACAGGTGTAAGATGTCATGACCGCGCCTTCATTTCCAACGTGGCGGGCGATATCTCAGACCAAACGTTCGAGGTGAAGAGCTGCGCACCAGAAAGAATCGCTGCAAGTGAAGTCTGGCCCTTTCCGTGCCCCATTTACTGCAGTTTTATGGTAATACTGAACGCAGACTTGACTTGACTGGGGTGACAAGTGAATGGTATACAAGCGTGTGGAAAAATGAGCGCAAAGCACTGACAGACAGGAGTTAATGATGGAAGTTGCATTGCCAGGGGAGAAATAAATGCCAGGATTTCAAAAACAAAGGATATTAGAAAAAGGAACAAAAACGCTGAGGCAGCCAGCTATTCGATGTAAGATATTAAATATTACTTAACACTTAACACATGGGGTATGTAGTATATACTCAAGCAGCAATAAATTACATCTCAGTTACAGCCAAGGTCATCTGTGATGCAAGCCTACAGGATCTTACGATCTGATTTAGGAGGCTACATTTCAAGCAGTATTACAGAGAGTACAATGTGCGCCCCATTATAACATACAAGCTGCTCGTTTTCCTTACACTACGCTAATAATGTGAGTGGATGGCAATTCTTTGCAAGCTGTGATGTATTGCCCAGATGGTTCCCTTCAAGAAAGCCTGCGGCCAGAGTATTATAAAAGGGTCAGTGGCATATTCAGTAAATTAAGACCTCCAGCCCATCTCAATCAGAGCGCACTGTTCTTTTTTTGTTTACGTGTTTGGCGGCAATAGCATGGCGCAGCTGGTAACAGTTGGAATGAGAACACATTTGCTCATGAAACGACAATAATGTGATCATCCATCCCTGTATTGGACGCAGCACCTGCGACGTCGGAATATCCTGAAAAGCTTCACGGCCATTTGGCATCCGGGTTTGTGGGCCAACGGGACAGCCCACTTTAACCCAGCCAAGGTTTAACCCGACGGCTGCTACGAACCGAAACGAAACGAACGAACGAACGAACAATTTCGCTGGAGGATTGTCGGCCAGGGACTGGAGACGGAGACCAAGAAAAAAAAACCTCCCTTCTCTTTTCGAACAGCGTCACGGGATCTTTAAAAATTGCCCTTGAACGGGCAGACGGGAACTTGTTTTAAAAGCCTCACCTGAAGGACAACAGCTCTGACAATGCAGCACTGCCTCCCAGTACTACACTAGTGACTTCTCGAACTAGAGCTGAGATTGCGACTGATGTTGCAACGACCTTGCTTTCACCACAGCCCCACGCTTGGCTTTGGACTTCTGCAGGAGTGACAACACTGCAGGGGAGAACTGTGTGGGCAGGGGGGGGAAAAAAGGCAGTGCGTAAAGTTTAGCTGCTGTTATTTCCAAGACATCATTGTGGTTCGATGGGACAGAGCTAATATGCAGCCAACCCTGGCAGCCTGCTCCTAATATAAACAGTTATCTGGCGTTAAGTGTTTGCTACTCATGTGCTGTGCTCAGGTCACGACGGTGGAACGTGTAACAGATATGCGGAGATATACAAGGGTGGGGGTGGAGGGGAGGTGTTGGGAGGGGAAAGGGGGGCTAGGGTGGGACTAAATGGTTAGCTGTGTCGGCCAGTTAACTGGGGCACAATGGGCCAAATGGCAAATTCTCAACACGCCCCACTGGACTGTCCCCGAGAGTGCAATGGCGTTCTGTGTGCCCCGGTCCACAGCAGAAAACCCCCTGTTACAGCCAGAGCTAACGGCTGATCCTATCATGGGAAGGAAAAGGTGGTGTGGGATGATGGGGGAGGGGGGGGGGATATGAGTAGGTACAATGCAGTGTCAATTATATCTCATCCTATGGCTATGACGCCAGAAATCCGGTTGACCAAAAGAAAATCTGAGTCAGAAGGTTATGGGTTCAATCCTCCCCACGTCAGGACTGGGCTGTGCAGTCAATGTTTTTTTTCCAAACCTTAGCAACGTTCTGTGCAACATGAAACAAACTGGAGTAGTGAGCAACAATAATAATAATAATCCTCGCATTTGATACAGCGCCTTATCACGTCTTCCAGACGTCTCAAAGCGCTTCACAGAATATACAGTGAAGTGAATTGGCTGTATGTTTTGTGGGCACAACGCGGCAGCCAATTGCGCACAGCAGCGTCCCCACGAACAGTTGCGGATTGAGTAAAACTTCCGTCAAATGGACCCACTACCGTAAAGGGTTACAAGGCTGGCCCTTTCAACATTGGGACCCGGGTTCAAATTTAGTCCAGATATATAGGAAGAAAGCCGCTATTCAGCTTCCAGTGGCCATGAATCCACCCATAGTTCACAGCTGGAATCGAGACGCTATAGATCAGGGAAACACTGGCAATAGAAAGCGTTCACAGCAGCCACAACACAGCCCTGAGACACAAGCATAATGAGGATAGTGGGATGGTGAAAAGCTCAAAACAAAACAGTCTTGAGCAAACATAATGCACAATTGTTTCCTTATTAAGTCGAACCTCCTCCAAAAGTGTACAGTTAAGAGGAGAATTCATTACTTTTTTTGAGCAAAGAAAGAAAGAGGAATAAGAAAAGTTCATTGGCTTACTCAAGGACATTTCCCTCAATAGGTTAGTGCTGTAGCGTTTCTCTATCAATTGTCAGTCTCTACAATTTCTTTTTGATCAGCCGCGTGTCTGACACAATCGGAAACTCACATCCTGCCTACCTAATTTTGGAAAGTACTAGGCGCAGGTTGGCAAGTGCCAAGGCTTGGGGACCCCAGAGTGTGCGTTAGGGGGTAACTACTGGAGTCTAACCAGCTGAAACAGTTTGCCATTGATATCACTGACCCTGGCAAGCTTTGCCACTGCTTGTCCAGCTGGGACCACCCTACCCATTGGGGCTTTGGCTTGCAGGGTTAACAGGAGCTGAGTGGGGTGACTCCCGGCCCCCAGTGACTGGCTTACCCTTTCGGGTCCTTCCTTGGCAAAGGCAGAACTTTCTGGCAAACCACTTTTCTGTGAGAATAATTTTGGACCCTTCATTGCCCTTTCCAAAGGCAAACACAAAAACGAATTCTATTATCAAAGTTAATGCATTTTGGAGTGCATGCCAACCTCACACGCACAATCACCAAACCCCAATACATTGGGAAGACAGCACTGAATTGTCAGAACGGTGTTGCCAGTTCCTGGATCTCTTGGTAACCCAATCCCACTGACTTCCGTGAATGCTTCAGAGCAGATCTACCAAGAAAACCCCCATGGGAACATGGACCGAGAAGCAGCAACAACGACAAATTACACTTGTATAGCACCCTTCACTTCGGAAAGACGTCCCAGGGCGCAGGGACGGTCAGGTTTTTTTTGGGAAAAAAGCAGACAGCAAATGAGAGGTCTCTTTGGGCATTTGGTGTGGACCCACTAAATTGCCGTCACGGCAGCAGCCACTTAAAAGGAGATTTATTAACTCCAAAAAGTTCAATTGCTTTAAAGGTTTTTGCCTTCCTTTCATCACCAGCGATAAAATTCTGCTTACACTAGCAACTTGTTAATTAAGCTTTGCAATTTAATTACGGCTGTGGATTTCATTAATCAAAGCAGACTCTTTATCAGCTAAAGAGGAAGCAGTAACTACAGTGGATAGGGTTAACTAGGGTAACAAATGGTAACGTCTTATCATTACATTTGTCACAGAGGTAAAGAGAAACAATACCAGAGTAATAGATAACTCCATACCAAACGGGATTATGAACAATGGAATAGACTGCTTCTTCTGTCGTCTTTTCAAAATGTGTCATCACAACCTTCACAAACATTCCCGCACAGAACTTATTTTTAATCCCCTCTTAGTATGATAATTCTTAGGGGCTTAGACTACTTTCTCAGTGAATGGGTTTAACAACAACTTGCATCGATATAGCGCCCTTCACGCCGGACGGAGATGAAGAAAGGGACTATGTTGATCATTTTTTTTTAATATCTCCCCTCACACACATATTCCTGTCGCTAACAATACAGGCACCAATCTGGGTGCTACAGCCATCCTGCCTGGGAAAAAGCACGGCTTTCCTGGCTCTCCTATGCTTCTATTGTTCTTCGCGAGAACACTTGTGAACGTGTTATAATTCGGCCTGCTCCATCCTAGGTGTCTGAAAGATCCAAGGGCCAAAAAACGATCATTTAAAAAAAATAACCCGCTGTGCTAACCAGCATGACATTTCCGGTTAGTCCAAACTGGATTCACAAGACCAGAAAAATGCAATCCTGTTTTGCTTTGTCGATTACGACGACGACTGCAAACAGCTTTGAGGGTAAAGCGGTGGCTAACCGGTGCTGAGTTAACTGATCTCAGTCTGGATAGCTGTAAAGAGCAGTCAGCTCTTTGAGACGCGAGACGTCCTCCCGACGTGGAAGGCGCTATATAAATGCAAAATGTTATCCTTGTCGCTTTCTGTACTTCCGCCCAAACCAAGTTCTTACGCTTTGCTTTTTGAAATTCCTTCTGCCTTAATGCTGGAATGTGTCCACGCCCTGGTCAGTCAACAAAAGAGAAACCCGGTTTCAACAGCAGAAGGTAAAAGTCCATCGGATCACCTGTCCATGTAAGTTCCTCCCCTCCCCCTCCACCCACACACACGCACACACACACACACAGAGTGCAAACAAGCTTCGATTTCTTTTTTTTAAAAAAAGAGGGAAAAAATTTAAATCTTGCGGAATGTGTTCAGGGTTAAAACACTTCATCCTCTTCATCACCTCACGCACTCACTCACTCGCTCGCTCGCTCACTCCCTGTCTGTCTGTCTGTCTGTAAAACTCTTGCACGCTGCTTCTATCAGGCAGAATAATTCACAAACCCAGTACTGTGCCAGGTTGACTATTTTTGCTGTCGCGGAACACTTCAGTCAGTCTCAACTCACCGCGGCCCCAACCGCGCCCCCACTGACAAGCGGTTTCGCAAGAGCAAGCGGATTCAAGGGTTGCAACAGCCCTGTTTGCCGAAGGTGCAATGCAAGGTTAAACTTTTATCGAGACGTCTCGACGACGTGATAAGGCGCGACATCAAATGCAAAAATTATCATTATTAGTAGGAGTATTAGACTACTGTTCGCATCAGTGGAAAGCAAAAGCCCAAACGATGGTTTCTGCCTCCTGGTTACATACACAGTGTCATTTCAGCCCAATAAAAATCACAAGCAATTGAACCTACCTCCTGACTAAGTAAAACCGACCTTCGTGTTTCAACATGTACATCACATGATCGAAACTTACACACACTCACACATGCTTTGGAGGATTCAAACTTTAACCCAAAGGCTGTGCAATCTGAACACAGTTGGGGTTTTTGGGGAAGGGTTAAATACCCTCACAGCACACACTGCACATGATTCAGGGAGACAGAGAAACACAGAGAGAGGGAGAGAGAGAGAGAGAGATCAGTGAAACATTTAGCAGCAACCAAGACTGAAAGGAAACTGAGATCCATCTATTTCACTGCAAAATCCTCCTGTTTGCAAAGACAGACAGAGAGAGAGAGAGAGAGGGAGGGAGAGAGAGAAGAGTGAATGCCCCACCATTCATTGCCCAAGTCAGTGGGGAGAGGAGGAGGAAAGTGGTGATTTGAAATGAAAAGAAAACACTCCCAAATCCACATTCAGCCGCAATGAATCCTAAGTCACTTATTAAATACAGTTAAGACTGAAGAGAGCCCCTGAGAGACTGTGTGGATGAGGAGGGCTGAGAGCTTCTGAAAACGATTGCCAATGCATTTTGAAAGCGTCCAAATACCTTTTGGAAAATGCTTAACCAGAGACAGCCACAGCCACAGCCACAGCGCACAGCGCACAGTCCGCAGTAACAATGTCAGTTTTTTTCGGGAGGGGAGAGAGGTGGGTCTTTTTTCTTTCAGAGGGAAAACATTACCTTCTTCTTTTTTTGGTGTGTGTGTTGCTTTCTTTAGGTCGCTCGGATAGTCAGGGAGTGAGTGAGGGGTCGATGGGTCGAGGGTTGGCAGCACCAGGGTGTTTTTCCAGCGGTATAACTTTTGGGGGCATTAAAAAAAGGGACGAGTTCCCACGTTAAAGGGGAGGGGGAGGAGAGAGAGAGAGAGAGATAGTGTGGGAGGGGGAGAGCTGTGGCAATGGCTCTGCTCTCTGCTGCTGCTCTGTCTCTCTCTCTCCTCTCTCTGGAGCTGCTGTGATCACAGGATTGTGATCCGATGGGGAGGGAAAAAGAGGAAGAAAATCAGCAACGCCTGTGATCCTGTTCGAGCTGACGTCAGGAGTTTCCTAAAAAGGTTCCAGTCAAACTTCAAACAATTTCCCTGGAGCTCAGACTTAAAGGGACCAGACACCAGGTCACCTCCCCAGCAATCATCCTTTTCTCTCTCTCTCTATCTCTCTCTCTCTCCCTCTCTAAGCTGATACAAATTCAGCTGGTCTGGTTTTTTTTTTGGCACCCCACCCCCACCCCTGATGTGATAGGAGTATTAATAATGATAATAATAAATCATGCTTGAGATGAAGAGGAACTGCCCTCGCCTCCGAAACGGCGTCTTATCGCGTCTTCGAGGCGTCGCGAAGCTCTTCCTTCGCCGGATGTACTGGGGCGTGAATTGACTGTGTTTTTTCAGGGCGGGGGGTGCGGGCGCGTGGGGTGAAGCGCGGCAGCCAAATTGCATCCCACAAGCGACCAATTTTATTATTGGGTTTTTTTTTCCTTGAGGGATTATTATCGGGTGTGTGGAGTAAGGAAACTTGTCCAAGGTTTCTCCCTCCCCGGGAATCGAACCCGGGTCTTCTCGCTCGCCTTGCGAGCGCTCTAACCAATACACGACAGGGCACGAGCTCATATTAAATGAAGTCTAAAGATCCCATGATTTGTCCAATGAATTTAAATCACTGACATCAGGGAATGCCATGACAGCAGTCGCCTTAAACTCAATCAACATTTTGTTTTTAGAAAGTCTGGAAAATAACAACAAAGATGCATTGTATTTACGGCATTACGGAAAACAGCAGAAGCCAAACAAATAACTTTGAGAGAGATGACTTTTCAGCTATGCTGTCACTCATTGCAAAGTCATCTGATCCACCATATTATTGTAATTTCCTTGTAACTCACCCACAGCTAGCTATTACTGTATAAATGTAGTCAAATTATGACCACAGCTGTACTGTCATAGCCAGCTATTACGTTCAGATCACTACATCTACATTATGGGATTTTTTTTTACCCCTGAGATATTTGGTGCATTTATCTCCCAGATCCTGTTACTTCTGCCATCCAGGATAACCAGACTCACCATCCTGGCTTGGACGTACATCGTAGTTCCTTTACCACCTCTCGGTCTAAATTCCTGGAACTCCCCAGCCCAACCCCATCGTAGGAGAACCATCATCGCAAGGACTGTTATGGTTTCAAAAGAATGTTCTCCACCACCTCTATCTGAGGGAAACCAAGGACAGGCAATAAATAGAAACATAGAAAGAGTAGGAGGCCATTCAGCCCTTCAAGCCTGTTCCGCCATTCTTTTAGACTTAGTACCTCAATTCCAATTACCCGCCCTTGCCCCACATCCCTCGATACCCTGAGCTAACAAAAATCTATCCATTTCAGTCTTGAGAAGCATTGCTCACATTCTGGATGAGTATAAAAAATGGGCATTAATTTAATAGAGGCAGTAATGTCATCTGAGTGGCTTCTCCCTACTCTCTAGAGGTGTCTGACTGCCATTTAGGGAAGCTAAAAAAAAAACCCTACCTTTGTGGTGTTGCAGTTTCGGGTCTGTCAATGATTTGTAAATTATTCCCTGAATTATAGTTTGCTTGGATTCCGTCTTAGTACTGAATGTTATGGTGTGCTCAAATTGTACCCAGATGTTCATGGAAAATAAAGGAGCAATGCCATGTGAACTGCCCTTTGCTTGTTTGGTTTGCTAAGTGTATGGTTATACAGTTATGGCATGTTTATTTTAGTTGTAAGTTGTCACTTGATTTTTCCTTTATAAAAAAGGGTTCCGAATATCTTTCTGTTTCTGTTGGTTTTCTGTCAGAATGAAGTGCAAGCTGGAGGATGGTGTCTTTAGAATGATCCTTGCATTCGACCTAACACCTTTCAAGTCAGTAAGTAAGACGTCTCAAAGCATTTTACAGGACTTACTGTAACGTTTCACGGCTGCGGAGTTTGGAAGTGAACACAGCAGCCAATTTGCACGCAGAAAGTCCCACAAACAACCATGAAGTGACTGACCAATTTTACCTGGGGGAAGAGAAACGTTGGCAGGGATACTGGGAGCAGTTCTTTTCTCTTGTTGAATAGTGTCACGGGATTTTTAACACCCTCTGGAATAGTGTGCGACTTAAACGGCTTTCTGTCATTCAGCAACAAGGCACACGGCAAAATGTAAGAACCTAAGTCACGGATTTTATTGCGAGATTTTGCTGCGAGACGTCTCAGAACAAACGAGAAGAGATTCGTCAACCCTAACAGAGAACGTCTTGAAATCAGAGATTAAAAAAAGGGATGGAACCAGCACCTTTAATAAACGTGAGAAGCCTCAAAATGTCCAAACGTTATAATTTAATGCTACGGTTTAATTAAATGCACATTCCCTCGGGGAATGGGAGCGCTTAATCCTTTCCTTTACACTTTAACCTTGTTTGCAGACGCCAGGCTCAATTTCTCCGCTGTCATTATGTCAGGGTTTCTGCCGCACAGCTGGGAATATGCAGATAGACCTCAGGATTGTTATGCACTCGGAAAAGTTGTTCGGAGCACCGACAGGAAAATGCAACCAAGTTGGTAAGAGAGGATCGGGTGAAGACAGGCCATTTGGCTTATTTGATCTCATCCTTTAAGAATACCCACCCTGTTGTCTTCCCAAGTGAAAGAAAAAGTTGCCCACCGCAAGGGGGAAATTCCCTATCGCCCTCTCTCCTTCCCCTGCTAAAATTTCCCTTCCCACAACCGTAACCACCCGAGACTCTTTTGCACCGGTAATAATAATAACAATAATCCTTGCATTTGATACAGCGCCTTATCACGTCTTTCAAACGTCACGAAGCGCTTCACAGAATATACAGTAAAGTGAATTGACTGTATATTTGTGGGCGAAACACGGCAGCCAATTGCGCACAGCAGCATCCCCACAAACAGTCGTGGATTGAGTATTGAATAATATTATTATTATTATTATTATTTTTGTGAAGGATTTTTTTTTCGAATGGAAAGAACAAGGAAAGAGTAACACTTTACAAAAAAAATGAGCTGTACAGGGTGAAGCTGACAGAAAGAGGTGTGGTACAGTGACAGGAAATGACTTCAGCAATTCCTTCCACCCGCATGATCCTGAAATAACTTGCCACAGATAATTTGACAACAAAAGCGGTTACTCATCAGTGACATGTGGAACTAGTTAACTTTTTCTTTTACAGTGATAACGCGCAGTCTCATCGGCCCTTAAACACCGATGATAAGGTCTTAAAAGTTTTAGCTATTGTGACTTTTAATGCGACTGCGTTCAAACTTTCGTAATTCGCAGTTTGAGAGAATTTGTGCAGTTTGGAAACTTGTTGGCAGTAATGCTTAACACATGCTAGAAGGTGAACTATAACAATCATAATGACGTCTCAAAGCCCTTCACAGAATATATTGCAAAGTGAATTGACTGTATATTTTGAGGGCGAAACTCAGTAGCCAATTGCGCACAGCAGCGTCCTACAAACAGTCGTGGATTGAGTGACCAATTTATTATTATTATTATTATTATTATGATACATCGATACAATTTATAACTTAAACACCATTTACATCCTTCAACTAAATAAGAATTATTTGAAGTCTTATCTGCTCGCTTTTGAAGTTTTACTCTTGAGCACAGCGAACCACCAGTAGAAATAATGTTCTATCATGTTGCGCACGGTTTGACTTACTCTGGCTCGACGTTTTGATAGTCTAAGGCAACTGCGAACACAATCGCTATGCTTTTGAGGTTATAAGCTCTATATCAGATACAAGGATTACACAATACAATACAACAACCAGTCGAGCGGAGGCAACGAGTAGTGAGAGGGTCGGAGAGGTAGGGGACCTTTAACAATCAATTTGCAGTTTAAAAGTTTGTAGGATTATCGTTTGTAGGATTATATTGACATTACTGTCAAACCGCGAATGAGAACGTAGGGGACTGTCACCCAGTCTGAAAGGCACTGCACAAAGGGAAGAAAAGATCAATACTGTATATGTTTCAAGTGTGACACAAAGTCGGAGGCTCGGCTCGGATTTCCGACACGAATGGGGTGTCAATTTTGCCGAAGAGTTTGCGGGTCAATTGTCAAGAGTGTTCCTGAGCTCTTTCTTACCTCAAAAAACAATTTCCCTTAGATCCACAGCACCAAGGCGGACATATATAATCCTTGCTCTTTCAGGTTTTAACTGGAGGCAAGAAATATTAAACCCATTTTCTTTCTTGTTTGAGATCCGGTAACCATACCTGGCGTAAGGGTGGGTGGGGGCTGTTACTCTTGGGTAGATCAAAGCCAGTAGAAGAGGTGAAAATGGGTGGACAAAAGGCACAGAGGATCCAGAAAAAGGGAAACGAGCTAAAGTGAACGAATAAAGAGACAATTGGGTGGGAGCAAACCCATTTTTATTACCGGATTTCATTCCTTCTTGTCTCTATTTGCGTGTAACAAAGAATTATCTTTCCGTTCACCTTAGGTGTGTGGGTCTCCTGCTTTTTCTTTCCTTATCTGGTCCTGACCTGACCAAACGGATAGCACATCCAGTCACACGGTTTCATAAGTTTTGTCCACATCTGTCTCAGCTACTTAATAGCAATCCTTGCATTTTAATATCGCGCCTTGTCACGTCGTCTGAAACGGGGCTTTCTGAAAAGTGTAGTGACTGTGTATTTTGCAGGGCAAATGCGACGGCCAATTTTGCGAACTGCAATGTCCCACAAAGAGCCATAAAGTGACTGATCAATTTTATCTGCGGGGTTGTTGGCCAGGACACCAGGAGAAACTGACTCTCTTCTCTTTTCGAGCAGTTCCAAGGGATTCTTTAAAGACAATCCATTAAAAGATTTGCCTGCCAGTCCTGAACAAACGCTTTGTAATAATATTTAATTTTTTTTATTAAATATTATTTTTTATTTATTAAGTGCACAGTAATAATAATAATAAGAAGAAAAGTAATGTGCCGTGCATTTCATACAGTGCCTTTCACGTTTGGAGGACGTCTCAAAGCATTTTGTTATATGGGTTGAACTATGTATTTTTTAGCTGATTGTGGTGCACTTCACACCACTAAGGTTTTTATTTGCTGCGAAGGCATCAGTGCCATTCAATTCTCTTTTGGGAATGCGGGAGCCATTTAAATAAGCTTTTCTAAGTGTTTTTGTTGGATAGATTTTTTGCAGCGTTACTCGAATGAAGTGGTTGCCATTAAAATAACCATCTGAGGCTGCAGGGAAGGTAAATAAAAGAAACCTCTTGAGAGGAGAAGTCATTTTAAAATGCTTAGCTAATTAACTTCCTTAAAATTCATTTACTTCAACAATGTCCTCCCGGCCTTGAAGCCTCTGACGTTTACGGTTCCGATGCTGTTCAGTGGTCTTGCGCAAGTGACCCTTCTCCGTATGTGGACCAAGGACAGTCATCATCAGTAGATTAGGTAATTGCGGAGGTCATCACAGCTAAAACCATCCTCAACAGATGTCCGCAAGAATCTCAAGATCATTTCGGTTGAAGAAGGCCCTTCGGCTTAGCTGATCTCAACCCTCCAGATTACCACCCCCGCCCCCCCCTTGCGCGCAGCAGTGTCCCACAAACAGTCATGGATTGAGTGACCACACTATTATTATTATTATTTTTTGAAGGTATTATTACCTCCGGAAAATAATCGGTTCTTACTTACTCCTAGATAAACAGAGGCGTGTGGAGTAAGGAAACTTGCCTAAGGTTAAAAACCTCCTGGTACCTGTCCCTAAAGTGCTCATTGCAACTCTAAACCTCTATCCTCTTGTTCTATTGTCTTGGTGCGTTCTGAACTTAAGTATTATTCTGGGTTTAGTTTCAAGGGTTACATTTCTTGGGTGAGAAACTGAACCCAATGCAGCAATAAGTCAAAAGACAACCGTGTGTGTTTATCAGACGAGTTCCCGCTGAATGCATTCACCTAAGATGAGTTACATACCAAACAACAACAACAAAATTACATTTGTATAGCCCCTTTCACGCCGGGAAGGACGTCCCAAGGCACTGGACACATATAACAAACAGGCATGTAACAAACCTTAAGGCTGTTGGGAAAAAAAATCTTTCATCAATTTCTCTTCCTTTTTGCATGAGAATGTCTCACCTCATTGTCTGTGCCACATGCCTGACATACCTTAAACACAAGGTTATGTGTTATCTTTGCCAACAGCCCAACGAAACTCAACGATCAAACTGAACAATAAGGACTGAAACAGCAAAGTGCAATGGCTGCAGAGAATGGTTCAAACAGAGAACAGAAACTAAATGAACTCTTCTTCAGTTTGCCCACAATTTATACAGTCACTACACTTCACAGCATATCCGGCGAAGCGCTTTGAGCCATCTCGAAGACTTGAAAAGGCGCTTTATCAAATGCAAAGATTATTTACTATGAGTATAAGGTGCATTCCTCTGATGAACACGAACAGAGATTAAACTTTGGTGAACATGAAACAAACGCAATGGACTAAAAAAGCAGAGAAACAGACGACCCTAGATATCAATATTGCGCACCTTGACAGTACATCTTCGAATCACTTCCGTACAATTTTCCCACACGCAAAGATTGCATCGTGAAAAACGCTGAAAAGCATCACAAAATCCTTGTTGCTTCTGACACTCGCGGGCGATCAGATCCACGTTTCTGTCAGTTTAGGAGAAGAGGGTATGAGCAAATCTAAGCTCTAATTAGATTTGCCTACGAGTACAGAGTCACCACACTCCGCACTGTGAAGCGCTTTGAGGCATTTTACTGACAACAAGGCTCTATATCGAATGCAAGGATTTGTCATTTAATCTCCAATCTTGTTTCGAGGCATGTGAATGTTAAATCTTCTGTACTTCCCCTCCCGTTCCGCTCCCACAGTTGAAAGATAATTGTGTGTGCTTATCACAAATACATCAGCCATCGATGCTATGCAGTACAACTTGCTTTTTGAGGGTAAATATAACTTATGATCATAGCCTTGCTACGCTGTCAACTCGCTTTCCATCGATGAATACAGTGTGCCTATTGTGTAAGATAAAAGTAGAATTTAAAGAATTGTTGGCTTCGCGCAGGTAAATATGCTTTTCCTTCCAGATCAAATTGCCGAAGTATTGAATGGAGGGCAGTAATCGGTCTGTGAAATCCTTGCTTTCTTTTCGGGCTCTCCCCTTGCTGCCTGGCACACAACACGTCGACTTCAAGATCCTCACACCCGCCTTCAAATATGCTGCCGCGCCCGCCTCCGAACAAATACACAGTCACTACACTCCTGCGGTAAAATCCCGTGAAGCGCTATGGGCCGGTTGTGATAATCACTGCACTCTATCAAGTGCAAGGACTGTGTATCATGTTGGCATTTCCCAGCGGTCAGTATTAAAGGGGTTAATGAATACTATGAACAAGGCTTTGTCTCGAATGTTTGGCCGAAACTTTGGAAATGGAGATTGCCTCATGTGTTAAGTATTTGGCCCTCGGCTTCCCTCCCAGGGGAGAGTGCAGCCGGGCTAATAAGATCACCGGGACCTTTGCAAGGACCACATACAACAAGGCAGCTGCACATCATGTGTGTGAGAGATAATATGAACCCCCTTCCCACAACCCACCCCCCTCCACCCTAAACTCTGCGATGGGCCTAGTAAACAATGACTGGTGGCATCAGATATCACCCGAGGATATTCACGGACAAAAAAAAGAACATAGCAATAACAGTGAGGGCCTTTGGAAGGAACCTCGCCTGGAAATAATTAACGGATAAACTATTATCTCAGCTCGGTGCTGTGGTACAGTACACGTTACACAGGGGAGCGGTTGAGGGACCTTTCACATGTTGCAGTGGAACAAGCGAGTGGGTGTTGGAGATGGAAAGGCTGGATAGGCACACACTGAGTAAATTCCACTCCGTGTCGTTTCAAATTCAGGCTGTAGGTTCCCTCTGTAGTCTGTGTCTGTGTTTTCATTGTCGTCGCTGGCAGCACAATCGCCGTTTCGGCCGAAAGAAAGTTTCAGTCATCCTGGCAGTGCTGAGCAGTCCAGATGTTCACAGAGCACTGTACGTTCCTCCTGTTCAATGCACCAGATGTAGTGCGTGTCTGTGTGTGTGTCTGTCCTCCACCTTGCCCCCTCTCTCCCCTTTTTCAAGTCCTGCCTGAAAACCGTCCGCTTTTACTGAGCTTACTGCCGAGACACTACTCTGAGTGGAGGGCGCTACATAAGTGCACGTTGTTGTTGTTGTTGTTGTCGTCGTTGTTGTTGTCGTCGTGATATTCAGCACTAAGTGAGCCCAGGACACCAGCATGTTATATTTCTCTCATTGAAACCCCACCATTCTATCTGGCTGCGAGGAACTTGATTATAATTATATCTCAGACGACAACAACAACAAAAACTCTGACGCTTCCCCTTCCTGAAACAAAGCCTAAGAGATCAGCCAAAGCATCAACATGCAGCAATAATAGCCTTACGGCAGCATTTATACTTCCACCGTTATAAATAAATAATCCTTGCATTTGAGTTAGCTGCTCATCACACCATTGAGACGTATCAAACTGCTTCACAGGATTTTACTGTGAGGGGCGGTGGCTCTGTATTTTTGTGCAGGTGCCATTTTGACTATTTCAGGGCCAAAAAAAAACCTTTCAAGTCGGGAGGACGTCCCAAGGTGCTGGACAATGAGGGATTTGGACCCGGCTGGGGGTTGGGATCAGGAGGAGGCGGAGGGCAGGGGAGGGTAGGAGAGTGCCCGAAGGCACGGTTGAAGAGGAGGTTCTTGAGATGGGTCTTGAAGGAGGTGAGGGGGTGGGGGGTGGGGGCAAGGCGAAGGGGCAGCGCTGTGCACAAATTAGTGGCCGCATACAAGCACAAAGTACACAGTCACCCCACTTTACAGTACACGCTCCACTTGACAGCACAGACTTTACAGTAAAGCAAAACTAATAGTTTGGTCGAATCGATAACAGAACGATTACGACAGAGTCACAATTCAATTCGATGCTTGAAAAACGTTTGAAAGAGAAACAAGGCACTCAGAGCCCAATCATTTCTACCGTACTTTCCATTAGTGGAATGGGACTTTGGCTTCAGAACAACACGCACTGCTCTATTCTGTTTTTAATGGTCAGCCCTCCCCATCACTGGAAGTGGTGACTAAGTTAATGCCATCATTCATCGGATATGAGATGCACAAAAGAACGCAGAAATAACTCTATGATCTTCGGCTAACGAGTTAGTGTGCAAATGTGCTTCCTGCAGGGTTACCTAAAGTTCACACCGGGCAACTTGCTGCTGGTTAATGTTTAATTCTGAAGGTTATGGTAGCTCGCAGGTTGGAGGTAAAGGAGCTGAGAGGCGGGAGGGTGGGGGGGTTGGGGAATGTCGATGCAACTTATTGCGAAGTGATATAATGACCGTGTGGAGTTTCGCTTGAGGAGATCGAGAGATGAGACGAGATGTTTGGCAGATAGACTGGAGACGGCCTGTGGAGGCAACGACGACGACAACAGCTTGCATTTGTATCGCGCCCTTTCACCCAGGATAGCGTCGTGGAGCTCTGGGTGTCTGTGTTGAATCAAATAGCCTTTTTTTTTTTTTTTTTGCATCACCTGCCTTTTTTTTCTTAACGTTCTTACTACCATTCCGTTGAAGTACAACAGCGGGTCGTTGAGGGGGGAGTTACTTTCATCGCTTGCCTTTCATTTCACCCCTCCCAAATATACTTTACGAGTCAACTCGCTTCACAGTGCACCCCGTGAGGCGCTCTTCAGACGTCTCGAAGGCGTGATGTGGCGCTGTATCAAATGTAAGGATTATTTCATCTGTTGTCAAACATACTTTGCTCTCGACACCTCCGCTGGGGAGAACGCGACACGTTTGGAATCAAATGGAACAGGTTGAGGCCTTGTTAGATTAGTGTAAGCTGATGGCAACACGTGGACCTTTCTTGCCACATGCCCACAGCACAGATCAGGCAGACCACGCACGGTGAGAAATGATGCCCCCTTCTGGCACAACCGTTCATTACACCCTGAATCCCGAACCACTTCCAGAGTCGAGCGTATCAAATTCCGGACGCACTTGTGTCGGAAAATTCAGCGCTCCCCGAGGACAAAGCTAGACTCAATTTCCACCTGAACTTTATCAATTATTAATGAGCGAAGCCCTTGGGTCATGTTCAAAACTGGAGACTCACATAACCAACCCCACCTCCGGCAGCTTTAAAGTGTTACGATCCTTGCGCTTGACAATAATCTTTGCATTTGACACAGCGCCTTATCACGTCTTCGAGACGCCTCAAAGTGCGTCGTAGACTACGCTATCAAGTGAACTGACTGCGTATTTTGTGGGCGAAACGCGGCAGCCAATTGCGCACAGCAGCGTCCCCGCACACAGTCGTGGATTGAAGGGACCAAATGCGTTGCCACGAATAGAGCACAAAATTGACTCGCGACTCCGCTCACTGATGCAAAGTTTGAGCTCTGCCAGAGGAAACCTGCCCGGTTCTGCACAATGTGCCCAGTCCTGCGTGTTCACCCTTGAAAACGACTACAATCGTATTTCCATCGTTCGCCCTCCAGCCTTCAAGCACTGAGCTCCACGCTCAACGTACAAGAGAAGCAATTCTCTAACTTGGCTCTCAGTGAGCTCCGAAAAAATGTCCTGATCGAGGGCAGATATTAAATATAATACGCAGCGCAACAACAGAAATAATCTGTTTAATCCTTTCAATGATTCGCACAAAGTAGGGAGGGGGTAAAGGCGGAGAGGAGAGGAGGGGAGGAGAGGGGAGAGGAGAAGAGAGCAGAGCAGGGGAATTGCTCGATGGAATTGGAAACACTGGAATTTCTTTTCTAATATAAAAAAAAGGACCTATATTTTTAAACCGAAGCAAAATACTTTTTATTGCTCTCCACACCACGTAAAACCAAACCCACCGCACATTCCGAGACTCCTGCTATTTTTCTGCGTAAACTGCAGCAGTCACGTCTCTAATTCTCTCGTTCAGATGCCGTCTGCACCAGAGAATCTGTCTAGAGAGCAGTGTGGGGGCAGGGGTGGATGGGGGGGCGTGGGGGGGGGGTGGGGGTGAGGGGTGCGGAGGGCAAGTGGGGGAGCAGAGAGCTTGTTCCCCGAATGCCGCTCAACACGGTAGCAGAAAACAGCAACAATAACAGCGTCTCGGACCGCTTCATAATAATCCTTGCGATTTGACGATCACGTCTTATATCACGTGGTCAAGACATCTCAAAGCGCTTCGCAGAATGCGTTGTCGAGCGGAGTGACTGTGTATTGTGCAGGCGGAAACAACGCTACGAGAGCTCAATGGGAAAACACGTGAAAACAAAGAGGACATGATAACCAGAGGCTGGTGGCAGGGTAGGAAACACTGCTGGGTTTAGTGCAGGTTTGCCAAGAGGCCGAGCAATAAGAATCGTTGAAGTGCCTGGAGTTCAAAGTCTTTGGAAAGAAAGGCTCATTTCAAACACCTCCGTGAAGTAACCATAATCAGCCGGACTGCAAGCAGGCACCGTGACGGTGATATCATGGAAAACACCAGAGGTTTCTGGGTGGGTAGGATTACGGGGTGTTACCTTGGTGGCATTGGTTTAGAAGATCCGAAACTGGGCAGATTCGGGTGAACAAATGGGGCGTAAAACTGCGGCAAAAGGAGAGGAGACGATAGGTGTTGTGAACGTGCGTGGAATTGAGAAGGGAAAATATAAAATGGTCGGTGGCGGGTGGGGTGGGGGGGCCTGCTTTGTGAGAGGTGGACATTAAATATCCCTCGGCTTTATTTGGAAACAGAATGGAGTTTCTCCCAGTGTTCTGGCCGACGATGCCCCAGAGAAAATCGCTCGTTCACTTCACGGCTGTTCGCGGGATATTGCTGCTGCTCGTTTTTGTCTCCAAAATACACGGTCTCTGCACTTTGCACTATATCGCCGAACAAAATACAGTCAGTTCACTTTACAGGATATCCTGTGAAGCGCTTTGAGACGCCTCAAAGACGTGATGAGGCGCTGCATCAAATGCAAGTTTATTATTGCTATTATTATTGTTGTCCTGTGAAACGCTTTGAGACAGCCTCCTGACGTTTACCGTGCAATATAAAACGCAAGTGTTGATTCTTTTGTTTGTTTGTCTAATTGAATAGCAGTCCAGGATTGCAGATGCAGATATTAACAGTTCATTTCATTTGGCACAGATGTGCTGATATTATCTCCTGCCAGGCTTGTCAATTTTTGCCCCTTTTGAAAATATTGAAGTCTTTTGTTGCGTTTGTTTGGAT